CTCCTGCCTCTGAGATTACAGGTGTGGGATATCATATCTGTTTCCTTTAGTTGATGCTGTTGACTGAAATACTACATCCTTCTCAATAGTCTTTCACTTCATTGTCTAAAGGGGGGCTTTAATGCATGGTTCCTACATAATTTTGCTTACATTTATTTATTTATTTATTTATTTATTTATTTTGTGTATGAGTGTATGTTTATCATTGTGCTATGGTGCATGTGTGAAGGTCAAGGGCTAATTGTGGGAGTTGGTTCTCTCCATTTACCATGTAAATGGTTAACAATGGGAACAACGGGTAAATCTTGAGTAATTAGGCTTGGAAACAGGTAGTTTTCCCACTGAACCAGCAGGGTGGTCCAGCACAGAGCTCTTCAGGAGATATGTAGCTTCCCTTTTCTGCTTTGGGGAGAGTGCTATGTGATAGCACCTTGGAGAAACTATTTAAATTGTAAGAACAGTTGCTTGTCCCAATGGCTTCTCTAGATGTAGATTCTGTGAGCCTGGCCTCTCACCCTGACAGAAAGTGAACACAAACATGAGCTCAGGCTGACAACAAATGGGGTAGAACCAAGACATGAAAGTTCCCCAAGCCTAAGTAAGCATCTGGTGGGTCTTCTTGTAGATGTGACAAGTCCTTTAGGAGATCTGTCCTCCTGATGGCCATTGACATCTAAGTCTCCATTTCCCTAGTTTGTTTTCAGGACAACTTTAATGGGGACAGTCAGCTTGGCCACTCAACTCATGTCCCTGTGAAAACTGAAGCAGGGCAGGTGAGGGGCTGAAGGCAATAGCTCCTAGGCTCACCTTGATCTGTTCTTGTGACTTAAAGGTATTCCCATTAAAATGAAGGTATATAATACTCCTAGCAAGTTGAAAGAAACCACTAGTCTTATTCCAAAATTCTTATGCAAGATCAATCATCACCAGTGACCTCATCCAAATTCATTAGTCTGTTACCAGAGCAAGGCCACAAGACCACAGGGGCCATCTGATTCTGATGCATAGTGCCAGGGGTAGGGCTGGTCCCAGCTGAGTAATAAGAATTCTTATTGAGCCAGAAAAAAACAAAACAAAATAAAACAAAACCACAGGAGAGGATCCCTATATAGTTTTGTCACCAGTGATGAACTGACTCACCTTGGCTGAGTTTCAGAAAGTTTCTGGAACTTACTTACATATTTTACTGTACCACCAGTCAAAACTGGTCTGGTTACCACCATTTAATCAGCATTAGGTCATGCCCCTTGGCTAAGTAGATCCATGACTACATTCAGCTGTGGTCAAAGTCCTTCTGAGAATTACCAGCACTGATTAGATCCTAGCCATATCCACACAACCCAAGTCAAAAGCAAAGGGCACAGAAAGCGTCCTTAGAGACTCCAGGTAGGAGCTGACATCTGAGGTCACCAATTATGAGAACTCCAACCCACCATTCCTGTGATACCAGGGAGGCAGCCAGAAAGCCTTTATTCAGAATTGGGAATATAATTTCCAGTGTGCCCACAAAAGCCCTTATGACTGAAAGGAAGCTAATTCTTAAGCAGAACTACAAATTCTCACAATTTCTATGTGCCCATGCAACCCAGTTCCTGTGCTGGCTGCCAGTGACACAAGTGTTCTCCATAGGCTAGGATGGCAGATAAGGACAGGGACACAGGCAAGGGTTGTGTTATTCAGGTTCAGGGCTTACAGCCGACCCATTATGCCACAATTTGCTTTCTTCTCTTAAGCTATAGCATTTAAAATTAGGACATGATATTAACATCTACAGAGTTTTTTCTTGACAAGACTGAAATAGAGTCACACACACACAAAAAGTCACACAAAAACAATAGTGTTTTAAGTAAGTTGGTTGGGCCACATTCATAGGAATTCTAGGCTGCATGTGGCCTCATGTGCCTGTCTGTGGGTTGCTAGTTGGACACACCTAGTGCAAGAGTAATGTCCAAAAGATAAAGCCAGTGTAATTGACCAGATCCACGTGCTCCCTATTCTTCTGAGAAGCCAGGATTACAGCTATCACACAGCAGAGGGGTCGCACCTTTATGCCTGCAGATACCTTCCTTTCAGGCCATGGACCTGAGGGGGTGTCTCTTTGGACACAGAGCCATACTCATAGTCATGGAAAAAGCTCCCATAAATGCCTCCAAAAGACACAGGAGGCCTCTTGGCAGCTCTGGTGTATGAAGGAGAACCGAGCTCAAAGTTGACCATTTTCTGAGCACAGCTGCTTTGTCACGGCTCAGAGATCATCCACTGTGCAGGCCAAAATGCCACAGAGATACAGGCCAGGGCTAGGATGCAAGAAATGGTGACATGAAACACAGACTCTGTAGTGAGGTCCCTCAACTTGAAATGGGTTTCATCTTGAGCTATCCTCTGGGGAGATTTCCTATATTGACTAAGCACCTGGGTCCAACAGCCAAGAGTTCATGTGTTAAACAAACAAGAAAATACACAAACAGACAAACAAACTGGCTTTGGAGATGGCTCAGTGAGTAAAGTGCTTGTTCTATAAGCAAAAGGATCTGAGTTCAATCCCCAGAACTCACATAAAAATGTTGGGTGTCCCATGCATATTTGTAAAGCCAGCACTGGGTCCCTGGGTGGTGGGTGGTTTGGGGGGGGGCTTCCTGTCCAGCCAACCTAGCCAACTTAGCAAGTTTCAGGCCTGCATGAGAACTCATCACCAGAAAAAAGATGGGCAGCATCTGAAGAATGCCATTTGAGGTTCTATCCTGGCCTGTACATATATGCACACATGAGCACATGCATGCATGAGCATGTGCACTCCCATATAACATACATATGAACACATACACAGATGCACAAACATTTAAAATATGTACACAGCCACATCTTCTCTCCACATGGTCAGAATCTTGTGAACTTTAAATGCTTATGAGCTTGGTAGCATGGATTTTCTAGAGCTACGTGGTCAGTGCTTTTAGCCTGAAATCAATGATAATGAACCAGTAACCAAATGCAGCCAAAGTAGTGGAGATTGTGACCCCCGCAGGAAACAGGAACCTGGGAATTAATGTCCCACCAAGGAGAGCAGAATAGACAGTATACAGGGAGTAATCAGCACAGGTTTGATCCATCCAGCAGGATGAGGTCTTGAGTCCAAGGAGTAGAGTCTATGGTGGTTCCAGAGTTCTGAGAGATGAAAGGAAATTGCAGCCCTTGGCTGGGGGCCAGTGTAAGAGTCACAAGTGGCCCGGCTGGTTGCAGGCAGTAATAGCTCAGCACAGCTGCCAGAATCTAAGGCTCTCTGTCTGTGTCCCCGGGGAAACAGGTCACTTCTCTACCTTACATGTACACTTGCCTATCCACCACACTCAGAACAGAAGACAGCAGGGATTTTACACCTCTCACGTGGCAGGTATCCTTTACACGATGTCCTGATCGCCGTTCGCAGAGGTGGCAAAGCTCACCTCTGAGGCCCTGCCTATGATACTGTCTCAGGGAACACTCACACAGACTCGTGATCAGAGAGACCAGCGTGTAGCCTTGCTGTGTAGTCACCGCCCTTCCTTACTCACTGTTCTCATTGTTTCCTATTTATTTTCTTTTTAATTTTAAAAACGTAAAAGATATGCACATAAAAGAATGGCCTTCATTAGAGCATTTTGTATTTATACTTATCATGTTTTTTGCTCGTATTCACTCCTCATTATCTCCCTGTTAAATATCATGTAGTCAATGCCTTACAGTCACTAGAAATGATTACTTAGCCACTTGATAAATAAAGGTTGAAATCTCAGCTATCTCATAGCATGTATAAGGGAGGGAAAACGGAAAAATAAAAACCACATGCACTTCACGAGAGAAAATGATATATAGGATTCCACACGTAAGCAACTTGCTGCCTGGTAGCTTGCATGTAGAAGTCACTCAATAAGCAAATCATTATAAGTATAGAGGATAATTGTTGAGGATCTGAAAGTCATGTCCTAGGGTCTTAATAAGTTTGTTGGGATTTACTGAAAAGTGGCCTGAGGTCCTCTTGTACTTAAATGAAGGAATCTGAACCATGATGGGCTGTTTAAAAAGTGATCTGATCATGTAGTCTCAAACCTCTCACTCTCTAGTGAGCCATTTTCAAAAGCAAAATCCAGGAACTCATGAGCAATGAGCAGACTGGAATTTTGGGTACTCCTAACATTAACACCCTGCTCCCATACAGTTAGGGACCCTCTTATCTGCCTCCCAATCTCCCCAATGACTGAACAATCTCTGCCCCTGTTCACTGGGAGGGTCCCACTTATCTGTCAGAAGAAGGAACACTTGGGAATGCGGCAGAAGGGCCAGGAAAGAGGATTAGACCAGGATCTACAGTTTACAAGGGCGAGAGCCTTGTGTTGGGATATATATAACATCCAAGAGACCATGGTGAGGTTTCTGGTCCAGACCACAGCAACATCTCCTGCTGAAAGTAGGTCTTGCCTGCTGGCTGCAGGATGTGTCTTTGGCAGAAAGGATGTGTGAGGAACACAGTTCCTGTTGTCATGAGAGAATCAAGACACAGGTGCTGCTTCCCTTGGCATGTGGCTACCTGCTTATTCACTGAATTTGAGTTAGTACATGTCTGTCACTTCTTAGTCCTTGACTCTCTAATTTGCATGTCAATTTATTCATTCCACATATATCCCCAAGATGTCTAATATATGTTTATATGCTATTTTAGGCACTAGAGAAAATCAGGTGAGAAAATAAGCCTTTCCAATAGGGAGCTGGAACAGTATATAGAATGTCTGAAGTTGGTCAGTCATATCATTAGAGACAAGCAATAGAAAATGTAACAAGGAGAAGCATGGTATCTTAATACTAAAGTCAAGGAAAACCTATGAGGGACAGATGGATGAAGGGATGGAAGCCCTGGCCCCATTCTGAGAGTGAGGGAAGTTATTTTTGTAAGATGTGGTCAAAAAGCATGTGCATAGAATAGGTGGTGCCAACCCTGAGGTGACTGTGGTGGCCTTCATGGTACTCACCTCCTCCAGCCTCCTCCTCTGCTCTTTCTGCTCCTCAATGCGCTTCTGACGCTCAGCCAGTAGCTGCCTCTTGTGTTCTTCATTCTCCCTCTGCTGCTGCTCCAGCTGTTGTCGCCGCAGAGCCTCTGAGCGTTCCTTGTTGGCCAGCTGCAGTCTCAGGAAGTCTCGCCGCAGTGTTGACTCCCCTGGTAAGTTCAGAATGGAGCTGTGGACAGGAAAGAAGTGTGTGTGATGAGGGCTGTTGCACCTGTGGGTCCTGGGGGAGGACACAAGAGAACAGTGCTTTGCCCCCTTTTCAAAATGGCTACTACATACAAATGCTGTCCCCATCCATAAAGGAGTATCACACCCTTCTCTAGTCTGTCTACACCACTCCCTCCCCAGTTCATGGCAAAGATGTGCTTCATAAGATTTTAAAGCGTGTGCAAGTCCTAAGCCATGGGCAAGCTTATCTGTACATATAAGATAGCGAGTAAGGACTATGAAAATGGCTCAATGGTTAAAGAGCTTGCTACACCAGAATGAGCCTGAGTTCATATTCCCAGAGCCCACAAAGAAAGCTGGGCCCAATAGCATAACTGTCTGTGACACTGTGTTCATTTGGGAAGGTGTGAGGCAGAGAGAGGAGGATCCCAAAAGTTTGGGGGCCAGTTAGCCTGGTGTACATAGCCATCAACAATGAGACACCCTGTCTCTAAGATGGTGGAATGAAAGACCAATACCAGAGATTGTTCTCTGATCTCTACACACACACACACACACACACACACACACACACACACACAGTGAGACAGCAATAGAGCAAAAGGGGTCTTACTTTATTCACAGGAGTATGAACCTCCTTGACAGCTTACCCTAAGGCCCAATAGTCAGAGGTCACACTATTCTGGAGAAAATGCAATGGACCAGGAGAAACAAGGCTTAAGACAAGGTTGACAATGAGCCAAGATCTCAGGCCAAGTTTGCACAGTCAATGGTGCCTAGAGCTTGTCTCAATTCCCGAGGAGACAGAGTCCTATATTATGTTTAATGTAGTAGGTATTTAGGCAAAGGCTGGAGGAGGGAGTGTACTCTCTTTTGCTTTGACTTTTTCAGTCCTTATGTAGCAACCCAGGCCACACCCTAAGGCCAGTACCCCAAAGCTATTGGTGGCAGAGTTCCCATAGCATTGAAGTGTATGTGTGCATGCAAATGCATGTGAGTATCTGCCTGTGTGTGTGTGTGGGGGGCATGTGTATGTAGAGGACAGTGTTATTACTGGTGGTCCCAGGCTTCTCAATGCCAACCTAACTGCAGGTGACCAACTGAAAGTTAGGATCTCTGGTTCTTTAAGTCAACCAACCTATCAGGGAGATGGAGGATGGCTCCCAGAGGTTTGTTAAACCTAGCCTGTTAAATCAGTTCTTCTCTACCATGAGTCACAACCCTTTGGGGATCACATGATCCTTTCACAGGGGTTGCATATCAGATTTTTACATTATGATTAATAACAGTAGCAGAATTACTGTTATGAAGTATCAAGGAAAACAACTTTATAGTTGGGGTCACCCCAACATGAGGGACTGTATTAAAGGGCCATGGCATTAGGAAGGTGGAGAATGACTCCATTAAATTTTGGGAAAAGTTTCTGCCTAAAATAAACTCACTGGACATATAATTCCTCATTTCTGCTATGGGACAGGTACTGGGACAGGCATAGGGAGACTGCACTAGCTAGATACTAGATACAAAATAAAAATGGGGGTTGGATCTCAGAGGAAGGAGTTCTGAACAACAGCCCATTCTTGACTGTTCAACTGGATGGGGTATTGAGAAACACAGGCCCCAGCTTTTCCAAATCAACCTCACTTCTTCATTGGCTAACTCTATAAACATTCCAATAATGATCCTGGTTAATCTCCAAAAGGAGCTAGATATGAGGTATAGCTAGGTGGGTTTCTGAGGTTCATTTACCAGCTGTCTTGGCCTACTGTTCAAGCCCCAGGTCTAAAGGAGACCTTGTCTCAAAAACAAAAACAAAAAAACCAAACCAAAACAAAAAACCCAAGGTTGAGTTCTGGAGAATAGAGTCCATGGTTGATATGTCTACCCCACCTACAATTATACACACATGTTCATTGACATGGATATACTCCACCTCCAAACACCCCACAACCACTCACCAATATCTTGGGCATATGGTGATCAGAATGTCCCTTTGTGGTTGAATGACCTTGAGACTGCTGAAAGATTGTACTGCAATATCAAAAATTAAGGTGCCAGGAGATTTTCCTACCCATATGCAATAGCACAGACCTCAACTTCAGTATGATGTCATTTACATTCTGCTCTTGACTCCCCCTCAGTGGGGTTTTCTACAGAATTGTAGTAAGAAATACCCTGAAAGGAAGACTTGGTCCACCGTGATTTGAGAATAAAAAGCCTCACTTTACCCCATGAATATATCACCTTACTCATAGATATTCCTTAGAAATTCTTTAAACTCCACAAAATAGAACCCACAGCACTGAAATTCCCTTTAGGGATAGCCAACTCTACACTCTCTTTAGAGTGTTTGCTTTGTTTTGTCAGGTAAACTTCAACTTGAATTGTTTCTCTGCTGAATTCTTTCCTCTAAGAAGAATCCAGAAAACCCCTGTAACAGATAAATATATTCTCCTTCTAGAGTTACTTTCCTGTGAGAAAGATAGATAAATTATTAGAAATAAAATATAAAAATTCATAGAAAAGACAGAAATGGTAGTTTAAAGGTGTGGTGGTTTGAAAGAATATGGCCCCCAATGGGAGTGGCAGTAATAGGAGGTGTGGTCTTGTTGGAATAGGTATGGCCTTATTGGCGGAAGTGTGTCACTGCGGGGGTGGGTTTTGAGGTCCCCTATGCTCAAGCTACAACCAATGAGTTATACCACTCCCTGATGCCTGTGCAAGATACAGGACTTTCAGCTCCTGTTCCAGCACCATGTCTGTCTGCACACCACCATGTCCCACCATGATGATAATGGACTAAACCTCTGAAGCTGTAAGCCAACCCAATGAAATGCTTTTCCTTTATAAAAGTTGTCACAGTCATGGTGTCTGTTCATAGCAATAGAAACCCAAACTAAAACATGGGGTTAAAACTTACAGTGGTAAGGAGATGAGCTAAGGTTTAGGGTTCTGTTCTAAATGGGGTTACAAGGAGGACCACTCCAGGGAAGTGAGAGTTGTAGAGAATTTTCTCTACAAGTAACAGGAGAGGAAGGCTGCTCCAGGCAGAAGAGAAAGTAAAATTAGTTCTTGGTGGGAACAGGCTAGTGTGGTCCTAGACCTGCTCTCTGGCCTGTCCTCCAGAGGCAGAGGTAGCAGGAAGGAGTGTGGCACAAGAGACAGGCCTTCCATGGGCAGTTTGGGAGTCTCCTGTGAACCTCTTCTAGGAAATTCTAAAACAACTTCTAAATGGTGTTGTTTATACACACAAGTACTATGAGCAAAGGTTGGGAACCCAATAACACACACACACACACACACACACACACACACACACACACAAATACCTCATTAATCTTCACTGATATTGAGCTAATACCAGGAGACCTTGGTTGTATTAATGACTCAATTACTAACTCTGTGTGTGACCTGGTGACATCCTTGAGCTGTTGTCTCATGTCTACAATGAGAAAACCATCATCTTTTTCCATGTTTTAGGATTTCAAGAAGACTAATTAGACATGTTCAAAAACTGGGACCTGGTGCATAATTTTCACCATGATACAATGACATATTATGATTACAGCTGCTGGCTCACCAAGTGACCCTGACACACACAAAGTCTTGGGAAGACTGGGTTTTTCATTTCTTCAAAGAACAGTCAGAGGCAAACACAGCAGCTGGGCTGGAATCACAGTGTGGTATTTCTGCAAGCAGGGACTAGGGACTTCGCTCTAGAGAGGCTCATTTTGCATGTCACTGTTTGACAACCATTGTCTTTATGCAGCTAGAGCGGGGGCAACTAACATGTTCTTTAACCGTGGGAAACCCTGTGGCAGACGAGAGAAAAACTAATGGCCCTGCCAGCTCAGTCCCAACCTCTTAGGGTAGCTTAACAAGAACCAAGCTTTGAGTTGACTTAAAACACTGATTCTCAACCTTTCCAATGCTGCAACCCTAACACAGTTGCTCATGTGGTGATGACCCCAACCATAAAATTATGTCTTTGCTACTACATAACTGTAATTTTGCAAGTTGTGAATTATAATATAGACATTTGATCTGACATGTGATCACCAAAGGGGTTGTGACCCACATCTTGAGAAAGGCTTGCTTAAAAAGAGAGCAAAGCAGAATAAACTCTTTCCTCCCTAAGATGCTTTTGGTCAGTGTTTTATCACAACAACAACACAGAGAACTAGGACAGCCTTCACATGTATGGACATGTACTACCCCCACACACATCAACACACACATACACACATCAACACATACACATCAACAAATAAAAACACAGGAAGGAAGGGAGGAAGGAAGGAAGGGAAGAAGGAAGGAAGGGAGGGAGGGAGGAAGGAAATGTGGTGTCTAGTTCACTCCTGCAGCATGGTCCCTCAGCAGAACAGGACACTGTATTGGTGAGACAGCAACTGGTCCTTATGCTGCAATCTGATGGCTAGGTACCTTGGAGAGCTGGAGTGCATGGACCCATCATGTCTAGTGACCTTTTTGCTTGTGAATTTTCTCTACAATTAACGGTGCATGGTCCATGGGGTACACAGAACTGCTGTTGTCCATGGAATCCTTTGACTATAGAGAAATCCCAGTGCCATGAGCACACCAGCCTCAATTACCCATAAATACAGACGGAAGAAATCTGGGCTCAAAACCAAGTAAACCTCCAAATGTGAAGACAATAACATTAAAAAGCACTGGGTTCCAGGGAGACAACATGAATAGATGTGAACATTTCTATCAGGGTTCACCTCTAGAGTACAATTCGATTTTTTTTTTTTGAATCACCTCCTGCAGGGTTGATCTGTGTGAAATATCAAGGCACATGGCAGGCACTGTAGCCACCTGAAAGGGCTTCCCAGAGTGATGACATAACAAGCTGAAAAACTCCAATCTGAAAATGTCACTTAGCTCTCCCCAAAGTTGCAATTTTAAATACTTCCAGCACTGCATTAGACAGATAATTGCTTCCTTCCCACTCTGTATCTCCACATGTAAGGAAACAAGGTCGTGAATACAGGCCATACATCTTGGTGGACAAGATAAAGAATATGCTGATTTGTACATTTTTTATAAGAGTCTGCCTAGGGACAATTTCACACACTAATGAGTATGTATGTGGGCACTACATTAACTCCTGATGCATTCCTTAAGACAGAGCAATAAATCAAAAGGAGAGTGCATTTCAAGCAAGCCCAGGCCAGATGGTGGCAGTCAGCAGGCCAAGCCTTCTTCCGCATACCTGGGTTCCCCGGAATCATTCTCTTCCTCTTCCTCCTCACTTCCACTGTATTCATACTCAGTCTCATCTGGAGAGAGCACACAGAGTGTTAGTGTCGAAGATGTTGCTGCTGCTCAGAACAGACCACCCCTCTGTTTCATAAACTTCCATGAGCCACAGAACTGTCGTCAATGGACCTCATCTGTAGCCCCAATCCCATAAGATGATGGAGCTGGAATTCCCCCTGCTTAGGGATACTGATGCTGCCTTAACTTCACAGAGCAATGCAGACTCTCCTGTCTGTGGCAGTGCTGGTGTGAGCCAGCATACGAGTGTACACTGCAAAGAAGCATGTACAGTATGTCCTACTTGATAGTAACACATGGACTCAATACTAACCTATACTAAAAACTTAGAACATGGGATGTGCAGGTAGTCCTAAGTTTAACCCCACTCATGGTTTATAAAAAGAACAGGTAAATGTGATTATTTCATTAGGACCAGTCACTTAATTCAGTAAAATAATAAACAAGTTATTGTGTAATAATAAGATCGAATATTTGCTTTAGACATGATCAAAATATAATGAGAAAGACACAAACAGGAATGTATGATCGTCATTTCCATGGTTATAAAGAAAGGTAATGAATGGGCATCTCACATGTAAGCAACTAGTGTTAAATATTTTGTATTTGTTCTTTCATTTACTTATGATAATTCTTTAAAATAAGGGAAGTAGTCAGCTTACAAACTAGCAATGCCTTCATGTTGGTAAAAGGTCAATCTGGGACATATATTTAGAATATATTTAGAATTATATTGGAATAAAATTAGAATTAGAATGGAGGAGTAGGAGTAGTGATGCATTGAGGTAGTGAGCAGGGTCCTGGAAGGCCACTGGTCCTTTTGCTGGCAGCAGCTGAAAGGGTAGCAAAATGACATTGTGAATGATCTGCTGCTATTGAGGCTGGCAGTGTTACATGTTCAAGAAACAGTGAATCCTGGGAAGCTAGGTGTCTGGATGTGGGAAAAGTAGATGGTGGGACCAAGGCCATGAGGTGTACAGTGACTCCCAGATCCTTATGTGCTGTGCTCAGTATTTTTCTACAGGTGATGAGAAGCCTTGAAGCAATGAAGATGCCACCGGCCTATCACTTGTTTATAGATGTGGGCTATTAATTACTAGTCTGAAGGCATTTGTGCAACCCTTCAACAGGACTGAAATCACAATTTTGCTGTACTTCCATTAGGAGGCAGTATTCACAATAGATCGGCTAAAAGTCCATGTAGATATTAGAGACGATGAAGGAAACCAGTGTGATGAGTTCAAGTGTATTGTATAAAGTCTTATGCAAGCCTCATACATTTAGGTGAGCACAAATTTTTTAAAGCTACCATTTTTAAAGAATGTTTTCACCAAACGTAAAGAATCTGCAGCAGAGTGTCTATAACTCATACCAAACCAATGTGTTCTCAAAATGGAAAGACGGAGTTCAAAGGAACACGTAGAACTTTTTACCTAATAGAGAAAACTGTAGTGAACAAAAGAAGCATACAATTATTTCAATTGTTTCTATTTTCTAAAGTAAAACTTTTAACTTGTCAGTTTCCTTGATTTTAATATTTTATCAGAGCTGAGCTTGACTGCCTTTGCACTACAGGATTATATAAATCAGTAAAAAATAAAACTCTTCAATTCTACCGAAAAGCTAGTCATAAAAAGATCTAATTGAAAAGGTATGTAAAAAAATGGGACTGGAGCTGGAGACATGGCTTAGAGGTTAAGACCATGTTCTACAGAATCAGCATTCATCCCCAGACCCACATGGTGCCTTACAACAATCTGTAACTCCAGTTCTAAGGATCCGATGCTCTCATTTAGCCTCTGTGGGTACCATACACACAAGTGATGTTCACTCAGAAAAATAAAATATGTCTTACTAGTATTTTTAATGTGAGAGCCTGAAGAAATAGCTCAGCAGCTAAGAGCATGTGCTGCTCTTGCAGAGGACCTGGGTTTGGTTCCCACAACTACCTGAAACTCCAGTTCCATGGGATCTAACGCCCTCTTATCTCCATGAGCACTGCATGCAAATGGTGCTCACAAACCCATGTAGGGATAGACACATCCATCCATACACAAAGCAAACAATGAATCAATAGATATTTTTAGAACATGAGAGATAAAATCAAATCATTTATTCAGACTGAATAAATGGAAAAAGAGCTTGTCTGATCCAATACTCTTCTTTGGGAACAGGCAAAACTAAGATCAGAACTGTGATTCTGGTGGACTTAAGCTCAAACAGTTATCTCAATTCCTTTTATTTTGTTACAGCCCTTGCATGTACTTAGTCCCAAGCCCCATGCAATTCCATACTACAGAGAATGAATATGTTGAAGATAGGCTTCTAATCATAAGGGAACCACAATTTCTATGTTACATTTCAGTATTTGTGGCACAAAAATTTGAAAACAACCTAAAACACAAATTTTCCCATTTTTATTCATTGGCTCCTCAGAAAGTTCCCAACAAGTGATGAGTCAATAAAGGATAGACTGAGAGTGGGTATCAAAGTTTAACTACTTGATACAGTATTAAGCATTTTACAGATATTATCTTCTTTAGTCTTTGCAATGATGGTTTACTAGTCCTTTTTTTTTTTTTTTTTTTTTAAAGGGATGAGAAAACCAGGGTGGATTTCACATAATATGAACCCAGAATCTTAACTTAAAGCAGTCAGAACATTTAACCTACTCAGTATATTTGGAGTGTAATGCAATTCCCTCTTAAAGCAGTGGACATTTAATGGTGGTATGTTTGACATAACCCTCTCAAATTCTGTTTTGAATATTGAAATACTCAATATTCATGACATGGTCCAAGATCACAATGGCAAAGGGCAGTTGAAAAGTCAGAGATTCTGACCTTTCTGACATCAACCTACAGCTGTCTTTTCAGATCTGTTAGCTCCTGCTGGGCTGGTCTCCAAACACTTTGGGTTATCATGAACATCTTATCCCTGCTGACCAACACTGGAGATAGAGGTCTCATGCCCTTCCACTTCAGAGTCTCAGCTAACTGAACTCTTTCGGAGTCCTTGAAACTAATGAATGAAGGCGGGACCTTTGCTTGAATGGTTGCTGAAGAGTCCTCCTCCTCACTGGCCTTCTGCTTATGTTACCTGTAAATTCAATCTATTTACCACCTTAACACCAGGCCTCTGCTCACATAAGTTGCTATTGCTGTGTTATTACAGAACCAAAGAAGCAAAACACACATGGTGAGTGACTTCCATCTTGTATTGTCTGCTACCATCTGATGTCCTCTATACTAAGGACAGGGGAGTGGGTGGGGAAGATGCAAGCAAGGAAAAGCATACTCACCTACTCTAGCCTCTGGTCTTCAACTCTATTTCTCTTCATCACACTCCTAATGGGTATCATTCTATCTTGAAACTGCCTCTCACTCCTAGTGCCTCCTGTAAGTTTTTACTGCTTATCCTCCCTAGTTCTCCTTGTCATACCCTAAGCCTGCCTTTCTCCCTACCTTATGTTCAGCTGGCCATGAGCCCAGCACCAGAACATGCAACTGTAAGGCACCATTCCAACAATTTAGGCGTGGTCCCAATGCTTCAAATCTGGGCTCCTGTACTTTCCATGACACAGAGAAGACTGTGGGAGAGGAATTTGTGCATCTACAAAATACAGAACTGCACTCAAGGGCCTTCCACTCAAAATCTGATGCCATGCTGCTAGCCTGGCAACCTAATAAGCCGACACCATAAGAAATTCTTTCCTGACTTCTGCATAACTGAATTAGAAACAAGTCTTGGGGCACAGAATAAATGCTGAAAGCTGTCAATACAGGAAAAAAAAATGTCAGCTAGATGAATTCTGTATGTTGTTTGACATGTGGATGTCACTTTTTGAAATGTGAATATTCATCTGAATTAAGACAAATCACTTGTCATTTAAAGTGCTTTGTAGTATTACTCAACATGGCTGTGTTTGGTTCCTAGAAGAGGACTGCTGCTCCGGGATCTATTTTTTTCCCATGGAAATTTGCCTTCAATGTGATTCTGTTCCACTGATGCCCAAGGCTGTGGCCTAACAAGGCCGTCCCTGATGTGAGAGAATAATACTCTGTTTTTTGCTTCCTTCTCTGAAATACAAATGTGCAACTGACCCTTCTCCCCTCGCTTCTTCTTTGTCCTGTCGATATGGTCCTTGAGCTGAATGCGGACCTGCCTCTCGTTAGGCTGGTCTCGTATGAATGGGTGCTTCATCAGTTGCTCTGTGGCTGGCCTCTGGCCATGATTCTTCACCAGGCAGCTCTCAATAAATGACTGGAATTTTTTTGACCTGCCAAACAAAAGAGATGAATTCACAGATAAGATGACAACATAAAAGAAAAGCAAATACATCTTTTGAAATATGATCTTAAAAAGAAAAAAAAAGTCCATCCTGTGAGCACAGAGATCAACCAATCACAAAGCAGTCTCAGTATGTTAGTACAATGAAGTTCAAAGGTCAAATCACAAACAACACACACATAAGTGTAACATATGGTAGTTTTTAAATGCATGGGAACATTTTCACATTGGGAACATAACCTTACACAGAACACTGAAAGGAATCAAGGGGAAATAACCTCTGTGGGAAGCAAAGAGTCACTGAAGTTATCTCCCCAGAAAGCCCCAATTTCCTCCAAGATAAACATTATGCTAAAAAGGTCTGGGAGCAGGAAAGACCTGGAGGCAGATGCTGCCAGGACTTATGGATGGGGCATGTATATTCTTGCTGAAAGTTCCAAGGAATTATCCAGAGTCAGAAGTAATTGAGTTCACAGCTTCCCAGCATGCCCTGGGAGCTCAGTGTTTCTCCCCAAAGGTCTCAGTAGAACCCCTGACTCCTGAGCATCTTGCCTACTGAGGAGGGAGCCATTTTCCTCTCTCTCTCTCTCTCTCTCTCTCTCTCTCTCTCTCTCTCTCTCTCTCTCTCTCTCTCTCCTTTCTTTTTTTGCTTTCTGTTGCCCTCCTGTGGCTGCACTGTGTATCCCCAAAGGATGGTTTTCTCAAATTCTCCAAAAGGAACATTTCCCAGAAATGTATGTATTTCACGCTTGAGAAGTGTCTTCAGCACACAGAATACCATGTGCGACATGTTCTCCACCATCCAAGTGCAAGAGAGGGGGTGGGAGAAGACTCAGCAGGGAAAGCCTGATGGATGGTGAGCAGCTCTTATCCTCGTCCTAGGTCCTAGAGTGAGTTGGGAAGTGGGAGGTGGAGACTTAAAGGATGTCTCCTGTAGCTGAGGGTCCGGCTCTCCTGGAGCAGGTAGTGAGAGAGACAGAAGCATCAGGACAGACCCTACATCAGCGATGTACAAGGAGAGAGCCAACTCCTGAAGCACACACACACACATGCACACACAGAGACACACATGCATATACACATGTGTGTACATGCACACACACAGAGAATAAATAAATGTTTAATACATATTACATATGTATAGAAAATAATGCCAGAGAGGATACCTATAGAATACTCTCTGCTTCTGCCCACAACAAAGTAATTTCTTACCTTATTCCATATTTTTCAATAAATTTTCTCCCTACATTTCTGAACTATTTGTGAGCTTTTAAAGGAACTTGCACACATATAAAAGCAATGTAACATCCTTAGCCACTGGCTCTATCACAGATGAATTACAATCAACTGTGTCATGGATTAGAAAAGGTGACTACAGAACTATGTACCTGCTTGTGATGTCCTCTAGCCCAAGACCCGTGTCTTCCTTATGAGAGTGTTCAGAGGGTTCAGGAAATGCCAAGTCATTGTCATATCATGAACACACCACCTGCTCTATATGTTTCAGAGAATGGTTGTGTGGCCACACAGATGGTGTAGCTGATAGCAGTGTGGTCTGGCTGTGTTCCAGTTTGTGCTGGTTAGAGACAGAAAGGGAGGTCTGGGGACTCGGGAGATGGCTCAGTGGGTCAAGTATTTGCTTCTTAAGCATTTGAACCTCTAGCATTCATGTACATAGCTAGCAGGCAGTGTGTACCTATAACCCCTGTGTTGGGAATGGAGGACAGGACAGGCAGATCCTCAGAGCTTACTGGCCAGCTAATCTAGCCTATTAGTAAGCTCCAGGTTCTGGGAGTCTCAAAATGCGAGGAGGAAAGTGATTGAAGTAGTCACCTGACATTGCCTTTTGGTTTCCAAATATGTGTGCACAAATGTGCATATGCCCCTGTCCACATACATATACTACACACACACATACACACACACACACACACACACACAGAGAGAGAGAGAGAGAGAGAGAGAGAGAGAGAGAGAGAGAGAGAGAGAGAGAGAGAGAGAAAGAGAGAGAGATTAGTTGCAAGGAGTAGTATGGTTTTTTATTCAAGATCTATTTTAAAAATAATGAAACAAAGATGCATCGTCTAGGGAATAAACTGGAAACTATAACACTAACCTCAAAAAACAGCAGCAAACCTGGCATGCAGCACACAGGGCTTCTCTAGGTAGGCGAATCAGCATAAAAAAGATGAAAACTAAAGTAACTTATGACAAAGAGCTATTAAATATTCCCAAGGAATGAAACAGTCATTCTCTCGCTCACTGGCAGCCAGCAAGAAGTACTTGTTTTTTATTATAAAGTGCCCTGCTATTAATTAGAGGGTGATAAATAAAAGCAATCACATCCAATTTGAAAAATGAGATCCAGACCTCAAAAGACTGTGCATTCCTTTCTCTGACACTGACATCTGAAACAAAACAACCAGAAAAAGCCAGAAAACCCTCTTGCTCTCCAGGCAGAGCTGTGTGTAAGCAGTGTTCCATTAAAAGAACCAACCATGAGAGTTCCCTTTGCAGAACTCTGCTGCAGAAGAGGACCTCAGAGAGAATGGCTTGGTATTCAAAGGACAGAGACAGCATACAGAGCTAGTGTATGTAAAGCTAGTGATGTGTCTATGCTTTTAGGCAGGCATCATTTGAAGAGAAAATGTTGCTCACAAAACATCCTTAAGCCCAGTATGTTGGTACATTCCCGTAATCCTAGCAACTTGGAAGGCCGAGGCAGGAGGATCACCATGAGTTTGACGATATAGGTTATATACATCATCTGACAGCAACCTGGACTACATAGCAGGACCCTGTTTCCACAAAATAAAAACAAAACAAAACACCCACATCTTCAAAGAAGGGGTTCCTTATTTTCTTAGTGTGACCAAGAAATCAATGTGTTTAATTGCACATTTAATTACAAGTGAAAGTACTTCACCTGTGTTGAATACCTGCTCACTGCGTGTTTCAATGGGTTCAAAGTAAATTTATGGTGCTGTTGGTAACTTAGCTTTGTCTCTTAGAATAATAATAAAAAAGACAACAACTTCTAGGAAGGTTAGTGATACAGCCTTGTCAAGAGTTGGATGGAGTGGTGAATGTCAAGGATTGATGCTCAGGAGTAATGGATGGATAGGGAATGCCAAGGTTTGACCCTCACAGTCTGAGATATGACAGCCAGCCTGGTTATTCACTGAAGTTGCTTACATTAACCATTGTACATCTACATGGGTAATTTTGGTCTTGAAAGTCTGTCATGGCCCTGTGCTAGTTCTCACTACTCCCCTTTCTCTCTCTTGGGCTTTACCACTTGCTGTATGGCTTGGGACAAATGGCTTAACTTTGCTGTGCCCATTTCCCTGGCTGCAAATGCAAACATTCCCAAAACTTATCTCCAAATACCATTGCAGTGACTAAGTAAGTTAACTCCTTTAAAATGCCTCTGGTGATTAGCAAGGACACACTGCAGGGACATTTGACCATTGTCTGACCATCACTGCACTTGAGGAAGAGAAAACTCCTCCTAAGGATTGCAGCACAGAAATGAGAAATGTTTTCTCCTGCTCCCCAATTTTGTTGAATAAAATGGGCACCATGGAGCACTGTTCGGTGACAGAGAGATGTCTGAAGGACGACTTTATCATGTGATGTGGGAACATCACAGAACCCATCTGCTCAGCTGAGGTGGCTACAGAGTCACCAGGTGGTCCAGCCCATTGTTAATGGAAATGTTATATAGCATGTGACTGCCCAAGGTTCATTAAGGGAATTGCTCTAGATACATTTGGTTTGGGAAAACTGAACAGAAAAGCATCATTTAAAAAGCTTGTGTTCCAGTTTGGGTTTTGATTTTAACGAAGTGTGCAGTTACAATACAAACTAGCAAATTCAATTTATTTCAAATAATTTATGACACCTACTTAATATCATCATTATTTTATTTGGAACACACACTCACACAAACATGATGCACACATGCACAAACACACACACACACACACACACACACACACACACACACACACACACCTTTGTCCTTTCTTAAAACAAAAGTGCCTGACATCAGGCATGGAGAGGTGAAAAATAATGGGGGTTAGGGGTGGGGTTGGGGTGCATACTGGCTAGTTTTTTTTTGTTTGTTTTGTCAACTTGACACAAACCAGGGCCATTTGGGAACAGCTGTCTTCAATTGAGAAAATGCTCTCTCTGATTGTCCTGCAGGCTATGCTGGGAGTATTTCTTGGTTAATGATTGATATGAGAGGACCCAGCTCACTGTGGACAGTGAGGACTAATAAACACTACTGACGTCAGGCAGTGAGTGGCAGAGTCAGATGCTCTTCAAGGAGGCCTTAAGTGCCACAGCCTAGGGCTATGAAGTGAACTCTCACTTAGGACATTAGAGAGCCAGGATGCTGGGATGTCCACCCAGGAAGGTCACAGGCATGCCATGGAGCCATTCTAAGAGAAGTTATGTGTGCTGGAGGCAGAGCAGGAGAGGCCAGGCCAGTGGAGACCAGATGACACTACCAGGAGCCCGAGATGCCAGAAATGGAGCTGCAGAATTGTGTTTCCCGAGCTAGGTACAGACCCAGCTTTTGTCCCGTCTTTTCCTTTCTGTGCCCATATTCCTTCCCTCATGGGATGAAAATGGTTATTTTGTGCTATTGTAAATTGAAAAGATGTAACTTGGTTTTTAATTTTGCAGGTTTTGACCAGTAAGAGGCTGTCTTCGTTTCACAAGAGACTTTGGACTATTGAGTAACTGGAATTTGAACTGTTAAGATTTGGGGCACTCTTATATATAAACTAAATACACTTTGCATCATGAGATGATCGTGCATGTTTGAGGCCGAGGGGTGGAACTTTATAGTTTAAAGTATTATGTTTGAGTGTCAAATTGACAAAGGGTGGACTTGGGATGGTTCATCTTCATGGCCAACTTGATGAGGCTTGGAATCACCTGGGAGACACACATCTGAGCATGGTAGGAAGGGCGTGGCCAGATGAAAGGTTCAATCTAGGAGATGAGGCAGCACTGTGTATGGACTGGAGTCTCTGTCTGCACAAAAGGGAAGGAGGAGGAATATAGCTGAATATCAGCATCCATCTCTATGTCTCTTGATTGTGGACACCATGTGACAACTGCTTCACAATGATGGACTGTCCCTTCTTTAATTGTGAGCTTTGTCAGGTGCTTTGTCATAGAAGTGATAAAGTGACCAATGCAGCCCCTTAGGTGACATGCCTGTGGATGGCCAGCTTGTTCCTCTGTGGAAGAGCTCAAAACAGCTCCCCAGAACCGTGAAGGGAGGGGAGGAGATTCAGTGTCAGAGGACAGGAAGTAAGACCCATGGCATATAGCAGGCTGTCCCTGGGGAACTTGGCACATTCCAAGCTGAAATCTGCCAGGCAGCAGGCTTTGCAATGTCGCTACTGCTTCCAGGGGAGGGAACTGAGCTGGCTTCCCTCTCCAGGAGACAGATCCAGGGAGGGGAGAGAAGAAATTTCAGAAGAGAGAGGAAGGGCCCTGTGCTCTGTCACCACATGCTGTGTGGTGCCCAATGAAAGGCTGTTGCTGGGGAGAGAACAAGGCTGGTACCACAGTGACCCTCTGAGAGGAAGGAGAGCAGGGAAGCTTTGCCTCTGGTTACCAATAGCAACTCACACTTCCCTTGCAGGTCTGGCAACTTAGAGACCGCCATTGCTTGTGTCTTTCTGTTTCCTTCCCCTCTCTTTGTAGTGTGCCTTTCCTCTGCTTAGCCAGGGTTGCTATGTCATTATCAGCTGATTGGTACTAATTAAGCCTGCTCTGTGATGTGGGTGTGTGACTGTGGGTGGGAAATAGGAGGACGCCAGTCAAGGGCCTGAGCCTTAAGTCATCGGAAAAGGGATTAATGACTTGTTCCTTTTCAGTTGGGCAGGGATTAACTCCAATGCAAGAGGAACCAGAGATTTAAGAATGTATCACGAGGCCCTCACACTTCTATAGCAGGGGATTGGAAGCATCAGATGTTTGTTACAGAATAATAAGACATAAAGACACTATATAACTACACACGAAAGCGAATAACATATGGTGTAACCTGAGGACCCTGCCCCCAAACCTCACCTGGTCATTGGCCATTCACCATTCACATTCCCATCATGCCTCCTCATGATAGCACGCATGTGGTAGCTCTCTTTTCAATAAATCATCTTTTTATCAGGATAAGCTTATTAAGAACAAAGGCTATACTGCTCTCCCCAAAATAGAAAGCCAGCATGCTCTGTCATAAAGAGAAAGGGACTAAAAACAAAACCACAAAGAACCACAATCTCCCATGCCAGAGATATCACATGGACCATTAGCAGGTCTGTGTGGGTGCACAGGGAACCATTGTCCTGAGTAATAGAAGCCAGCCAATCTAATGGGCTGACTCTAAATCATCACCGTCTCTGATGAAATATGCCACACAGTCAGGAAAACACACTTCAGGCATAAATCACGGTGTTTTCATGCCATTACTTGGGCTCCATTTTGGCTAATAGCTCTTTGCCTTGAGGATAGGGTTAACAAAGCTGCCAGTTCAAAACAAATGGTAGCATAGAGAACATTGCCTAGAAGCCATGGTATGTATTCTTTTAGTCTAGCCAAAAGGCCCTAGGGTGGGATCTGAGGTGATTAAAAAAAAAAAAAAAAAAAAAAAAAAAAGATCACAGAGAGGCTGGGCAAATGACTCACTTGGTACAGTGCCCATAACACAAGCACAAGGACCTGAGTTCAGATCCCCAGTGCTCACATAGAAAGCCAGTTGTGATAGCTTGTACCTGTAATCTCAGCTCTATGGAAACTGAGGCAGGGGGATTTCTGGAAGCCTATCTAGACAAATTGGTGACCACCAGGTTTAATGAAACACCCTGTCTATAAAACAAAGTAGAAAAACAACTGTGAAAGATAACCGAAGTCAACCCATGGTCTCTAATCTCAAGCACACAAATGTGCACCTGCAGACATGTGCTCACACACACACACACACACACACACACACACACACACACAAGACAAATGAAAGACCACAGGAAAACTTCACCCTCAGATTTGCAAAGCACTGAAGCACTGAGGGGCAAACTCACCACTTCTTAGACTTGAGGCGAGGTGCTGGGTTCCGGGGAATGAGGAAGAGGGCTCTCATGGGATGCATGTCACAGAGGGCTGTAGGAGACAGAAAAAATGACCAAAGCCAGTCAGAGGCCAAAGGGACACTAGCATCTTGGCTGTGCAGAAAATGCTGCACAAGTGTGGCATGTGTCTATAAGGCACTTTCGAGTAAGGGGTCAGAAGACACAAATGCTTCTGCTTGGCAAACATTTCAAAGAGCTGGTATCTAATTAGATGAATCTCATAAAATGCACATTTTAAACAGATACTAACATTCCTAGGAATCATGCCTTCATGTTTTAAGGAAAATAAGTTAAAGGGCCGACAACTAGCCATGCCTGCTGTAGGTAGCCACCTGCCATACAAAATGATCAGCAGCAGATGACAGTTACATTTGGGGTGGCTTAGGTAATTTTCTTTAACAAAAGCCTATGCCACATTCTAAGAGGCATCTAAACAACCACAGCACTGGCTCCCCATCGGAGGCTCACACAAACACTGCTGTCTGTGTACATTTCTAGGCTCTTTGGTGCCCTGCCAAAACACCAAATGTCTCTAGGAGCTTTCAGGTTGCATCATGGTGTGTGCCTTGATTTTTAAATCCTCCAGGCTCAGGATGACTAGAAGGTGAAATTAGCTTATAAACATGACGTAATCATGAAGACATGTTACATTCTTATTTCAATCCTCAATCCACATTTCTTATTGCTTATTGCTTACTTTCTAACTGTAAGAATACTTTTTTTTTGTACCGAGATTGAGAATATGTGCTTCCTCAATGCCAGAGGATTCTGTTCTGTGGGCAGAGTTTATTTTAGTCTTGTCTACCACTCAGGATGATAACACAGTTTTAAGACTGTGGTATCCAAATTTTCTGACTCACAAATGTCATTGTGAACAAAGGAAATTTTGTCAACGAACTCCAAGTCAATCATGCCACACATGGATTCAAGGAACTTAAGAAAAATAAGGATAATTTCAAGAGTCCTAAGTTTAAGAATGAACTGTCATGAAGGTCTTTGCAGGCCTTTTCAGTCCTGGTCCTGTGAGAAATGGATAAGAAGGTGTGAAGGTCTGGGACTGCACATGCAAGGATATATTACAGGGATTGAAATTCCTCTGTAAGGGAGGTAGAGAGAAGGAGCTAGAGTCATGCCATTGTCGTATAATTCCAGTCCTGGGTGCAGGAGGGAAGGTGGCTCCTAGGTAGGGTCAGCTAGGTGTCAGGCTGTTGCTTGAACCACAGTTGCCTGCAAAATGAACCCACATCTTTCAGGAAAGGGGGACAGTCAGGGAGGTCTGGGAGGTACAGTCTCAGCCCCCCCCACTCCCTGTTTACCCCAACAGCTTCCAGAGGTCTTCTGTGGTGCTAGCACTCAGTCCCAGGGGCCTTGGGAGGTTCTCAGGATTGCAAGCATCCAGGCAGGACACTGCTCCTATAAGGGTAGGGATAACTTACATCCTAAAACCTAATATTTTCGGAAGAGGGGCAGCCTCTGACTCAGGTATTTGTGAAAGCTGCACTGGGAATTCAGCCTTGGAGTTTTGTACATGGGAGCTGACATTGTCTGTGGTTGTTCCAAGTTCTTGGAATGAGCCACACGGTAGGTGGGGGAGATAAAAAGATTTCCCCAAATCTGCTTCCTTCTTTCCTAGAAAAAACACAGATCTGCACACTGCTGCGAAATGAACAGATTCCTGGTTGATCTGAGATGTCTCTGCCTTCTAAGTATGCTACATCAGACCCATGCCAAGCTCAGTGCTGCAGAAATAGACCAACCGCAGCCCTGGCATGGAGCCCACAGGACATCAGATTCTACCCAGGGCAGGAACTTACGGGGTGCACCTTCTGCCATCTCAATGGCTGTGATTCCCAAGGACCACAAGTCACTCTGTAAAACAAGAAAGTACAGATACACACATAAATTCAATCAACAGAGGACAATTTGGTTAAACCTGGTAATCACTTCAGCACTGTGGGGGAGTCAATCCATTGTCTGTTCACAAACCTATTTCTCCCATCCAGCTGCAGAGCCAGAGGAGTCACGTTTGCTTTCCATCGCACATATTTTCCCTGGTGCCTGGCATATGGTATGCTTCCAATAAATGTATGAAAAATATATAAGGTTTTTAAAAATTTAATTTATTATTGGGATTTATATGGGAGTGGAGCCACATGAAATTTTGCTGTTTTCAGTCTATTTAACTGATATAAAATAATGGGTTTCATGATACTATTACATCTGCTTCCTATCTTCCATTTCCCCTCTCTTCCCCCTCCATCCCCTTTAGTCCCCTCCCTTCTCCCAAATAGTCCCCCTGTCTACTTCCCTGTCCCATGTAGAGTTTTTTCATTTAATGTCTTTATTGAGCTGTAGCTGTTACATAGGCAGACTGCACATGTTTGAGGTGTACCCTTTGGTAGGGTGTGACACTCCTGTGACTCTACCATCAGTCAAGACAACAGACATCACATCCAGAAGATTGCACTCTCCCTGCCTCTGTAGGGTTCCGCTCATCCCCATCTTTCTTGCCACTTTCTAGGTCATCACTCATCTGCTCTCTGTCACTGTAGATTACATCTTCCAAATTTTATAGAAAAGGAATAAAACAGAAGGTGGCCTTTTGCACCCCCCCCCCCACTTATGGTAGCATTCTTGAAGGTCCTCCTTGTATCGTGGTTTACTATTTCATGGCTTTTTGTCACTCAGTAGTATTCTAGTGAGTGGATGTCCTGGAGTTTGATCCCACTTGCTGAGAGATAGTTGGAATGTCTATTCTGTATAAAATGGTTGCAAGCCTTGGTGTCTAGGTCTTGGGTACAAGCTTTTATGTAGATCAGGTGGAACATTTAGTAGGCATTGGTCACATTCAATGTTTTTCATGCACAACAACTATCCTTTACTGTGATGGGCCGAGGATGGGGCATGTGTGTACATTTCAGTACAGACACCCAGAAGCTCGCTAGCTCATTTACACACCACCCTGGAAGACAGGTCTTAAGCCCTAACCTGCCTTCTTATGTTTGGACAGACTGTCATGCTCTAATCAGAGTTCTCCATGGCCAGTGTTTCCTGCTTTGCCGGAAGTAATCTCTGGATCTCTCTATCCAGGTGTGGTCATCTGTAAGTATGGCATGGATGATGTCATCAAGACAAGGAGGAAACCAATGAGGGGAGCCCAGAAGGAGGCTTGCTGTTCCCTCTTCTCAGCCAATGGGTGACAACACTTAATATGGGTCAGGTTCAAGGACTACATTCTGGTATCATTAGCCACCATAGTGCCAGGGTTTTAGGACTTTATATACACTATTCAAAATTCTCCCATTCAAAATGGGTGAGTTACCTAGTAATTTTACTCAAATTATAGAGATCAAAGTGAAGTTTCCTTGCTATCCCATCAAACAAAGGTCAAGGGGATGGAGTATGAAAGGTTATAATTGGAAAGGAGCCATGGAATACATGCTGAGTCACTCCCTTAAACTGAATTTCTCAGTAGCCAGTGGATGACAGGCAGCCTGTTCAGTATTTGAGCATACACATACACAATACACAAAGGGATACACTGGGTACCTCACCCGTCACCCAGAGTGCAATCGCCTTGGAGCAGATAGAATGGGGGCAGTAAGGCACTCGGCTGAGATGCCAACACAACTGCAGGTTTTCAACTGTTGTGCTCTCGCTCTGCTCCCTCTGGATTCCTTCCAAAGCTCCAGGCAACATATTTCTTGTTTTGGCTCAGGAGTGTAACACGACAAAGATGAGAACACCCTGGGCGCTCTTGTACCTGGGTTTACAGTTGGCAGACAAAGGTAGTTGCATGGGAAAATGAGAGAAGATCGAGTCGCTCCCTGAATGGGAGGTGTCAGGCAGGCATGGAGGAGAAGAGGCTGGAAGTGGAGGGCCAGCATCAAAGGTCCCTGTGCTGTTTTGATAGTACTGCAGTGTCCTCAGGACTTGATACTTTCTCTAGCAGTTTCCCAATAGCCTAGGAACAGAGCACTCCTGTAGCATGAGGAAGTCAGGCTCTCTGCTGCTGACTGCTGTGGCCGGGGTGGACTGAAAAGGACTTCAGGCCCAGTGAGCTTTGAGATGCAGTGACAGTTCACACATTTGAAAAGAAATGATGGCTCCAAGCTGAGAGGGCTCCAAGCCAAGTTTTAGATAGGAAGAAAAAAAAATGCGGTGCAGCCAGGCTCATTTCTGTCTCTGAGTTTTTGTTCAAACTTCCCTCCATGGGGGGAGAGGTGGCAAAGAGGGCAGATCCATGGGGATGTGCAAGTTGGCCTCTTCTGTCTCCCCCTGACCCTAAGAAATCTGGATTCCAGAAGCTTCCTTCTGCTTTGCCAACCACTGGCCTCTCCTCATGTGAGCCCCTCCACAGGTGAGAGCCCTCATGCTGTCTACTGACACATCACTAGTTTAAAGCAGTGTGTGTTCTTTACACCCTTTGCCTCAACATATACACACCCAGGGGGGATGCAAGGAGAGAGAGAGAGGGAAAGAGGGGGGAGAGATAGGAGGAAGAGGAGAGAGAGAGGGAGATGAGAGAGAGGGGTAGGGAGAGAGAGAGGAAGGGGTGCCATTAGCCCTCATGTCACTGGCCTTTGTTTTAGTGACAGAACAAGACTGGGACATAGCAGACTCTTACTGTGGATGTGCTGATGAAAAGACAGGGAGCTATGGTCCAGGTCGGCTGCCATCTTCACATCTCCTTCCCCCAGATAACAGAGGCCTCAAGAAAAGGAGCTGCCTCTCCGGCTGCCATTGTCATTTCTCCTTTAACTTCCATCACAACCCACAAATAATTGCTCCTGAGTTTTACGTTGCCCACAGGTGGCTGAGGAGTTGGCAAAGCAAAGGAGCAGAGATCCAGTGAGGTCCCGTTCCTGTGCCACAAAGCCAGGCATAGCTTCCTAGGGGGACTGCAGGGCGGTAGAGAGAACAGGCTTTCAAATCAGACACAGCCTGATTTGATTCCATGTTCCTGACTCAGTGACTTGCACAGTGCTGCCCAGCTTAGCTTTCTCAGTGGCACAGGAGGTACTGGTGGCATGCATGTTTTCAGGAATGCTGCCTAGCACAGATTCTGGTGCACAACGGAGCTCACACACGTGGATTTTCTTTGCCTGTACTGCTGGGTTTGTTGTCATGGTTTCCCTCCCTGCAGTTGTGCTAACCTGAAACTCATTCCCACTGCTACCTCCATTTCAGAGTAGCCCAAAGCTGACTAATTTATTCTGGCACCCCAGCAGTTGTGACAAGAGCTATGGCATACACAAACAGGTCCAGGAGCTTGTGTTTTCCCAAGACAGGGTGCTAATGTAGTTGGTGTCTTGCAAGTTCCTTTCAACTTCTCAGTGCCTTGAATAAAAACATGGTGTCTGGGGTTGCAATATCCATTGTGCAACCTGAGGCAATCTTCCAACTGATGAATGATGCCAGGAAGGTAGGAGGCAGAGCTTGTGAAGATACCATGCTCAGCAGCTCTGGACGGCATGACTCTAGACTTCTGGTGATGGAATAAACATAATTGCAGCCAAAGATATTTGCAAATGATCATATGTATGTGTGTAGTATGTGTATGCATGTATACATATGTATATGTATTTATAGATGTGTATGTATGTACATGTAGTATGCATACATGTACGTATGTATATACACAGCAATAATAGGAGAAACATGAGGAGAAAGCATTTGACTGTAGGGAAACTGGGAGGGCACAGACTGCTAAGCCCTCCTGGGATTGTACCACAGGAAGCAGGGATGGTTAGTAAAGAAAAGACGCCTCTCTTTGTTAGCTTTCCTAAAAACACCTGTTTAAATCAGAGCCCCTATCATACCATCCAAACAGCCTGTGTATCCTTGTCTAGTCATATGACCAGGTCAGTCACATGACTATTGCTTGTTGAAGACTTTATTTCATATTATTGTGAGTATAATTTTGGTTTGGAGTTGTTCCATTTTCCAAAGGCAAATATTTATATTCTTAAATTCTTGGTCCTATATACCTGAAGCTGCTTGTAAGCTCTGCTTAACTGCCTGTTTTGGGAAGCCATAAACGTCCCTGACAGGCCTTGTTTAACCTTTAGATAAATTGGTGAATCCCAAAGACACTTCACAACTTAAATAAAGGAGAAAATGCTGCCATTACCACTGGCAAGACAGATCACTGGAGATGAGCAGGGAAGAGAGAAGAACAGGATAGGAGAGTGAGGCAGAGATAAGTTTCCTTTGTGACCACGGTGTGACTCATTTTGGCAGGAGTTGGGTAATTCATTACTTCAGTGGTGCTGTGTCGCCTGGCCAGCAGCATGATTAATAGCCCATCCCTGTGTGCATTACAAACAGAACAGAGACAAATTCTAGTGCCTCTGAGAAAGCAGGCACAAGGTACAGCTTCTGGCTGAGGTCTGGGGACAGTTGGCATAGAGGAATGTGCACACAACAAAAGAACATTCTTTCTGAACTGGGCTGCCCAGCTCAGTGGAAGAGAGCATTACTACACCAAAAACTGCCTTTCAAGGAGCAGAGCCATGTAGCTAGACACCTGGTGTGCCCTACTGCAGCCATGCACCTAGCTCTGACTTTGAGCTGTGACACAGCTGGTAACTCGGCGACAAGACCAATGTGAAGGGAATGAACAGCTTGTGGGGTTGATAGAAGAATTCAGTAACTGATATGCTCCAAGGTCCTATCATGGACCTTGCACTATCATGGACAGTGCACAAACAAGCAGCAGACAGACTTTTGGGGTCAATTATTGTCAGCTGGAAGTTCTGTCAGTATACACACAGTAAGAGGGCAATGAGCTGCACGGCTCAGTGGCATAAGACAGGTCAGGCAGAAACAGGAAACCCAGAGGACGCAGGCTGGACATGGCCTGTCTT